CATCAGGTTCGCCATCAGGTTCGCCATCAGGTTCGCCATCAGGTTCGCCATCAGGTTCGCCATCAGGTTCCCCATGAGGTTCCCCATACAGGTTCCCCATACAGGTTCCCCATCAGGTTCGCCATCAGGTTCGCCATCAGGTTCGCCATCAGGTTCGCCATCAGGTTCCCCATCAGGTTCCCCATCAGGTTCGCCATCAGGTTCGCCATCAGGTTCGCCATCAGGTTCGCCATCAGGTTCGCCATCAGGTTCCCCATCAGGTTCCCCATCAGGTTCCCCATCAGGTTCCCCATCAGGTTCCCCATCAGGTTCGCCATCAGGTTCGCCATCAGGTTCGCCATCAGGTTCGCCATCAGGTTCGCCATCAGGTTCGCCATCAGGTTTTGTCATCAGGTTCGCCATCAGGTTCCCCATCAGGTTCCCCAGCAGGTTCCCCAGCAGGTTCCCCAGCAGGTTCCCCAGCGGGTTCCCCAGCAGGTTCCCCAGCAGGTTCGCCATCAGGTTCGCCATCAGGTTCGCCATCAGGTTCCCCAGCAGGTTCCCCAGCAGGTTCCCCAGCAGGTTCCCCAGCAGGTTCCCCAGCAGGTTCCCCATCAGGTTCCCCATCAGGTTCGCCATCAGGTTCGCCTTCAGGTTCCCCAGCAGGTTCCCCATCAGGTTCGCGATCAGGTTCGCCATCAGGTTCCCCATCAGGTTCGCCATCAGGTTCGCCATCAGGTTCGCCATCAGGTTCGCCATCAGGTTCGCCATCAGGTTCGCCATCAGGTTCGCCATCAGGTTCCCCATCAGGTTCCCCATCAGGTTCGCCATCAGGTTCCCCAGCAGGTTCCCCATCAGGTTCCCCATCAGGTTCGCGATCAGGTTGGCCATCAGGTTCCCCATCAGGTTCGCCATCAGGTTCGCCATCAGGTTCGCCATCAGGTTCGCCATCAGGTTCGCCATCAGGTTCGCCATCAGGTTCCCCAGCAGGTTCCCCAGAAGGTTCCCCAGCAGGTTCCCCAGCAGGTTCCCCAGCAGGTTCCCCATCAGGTTCCCCATCAGGTTCGCCATCAGGTTCGCCATCAGGTTCCCCAGCAGGTTCCCCATCAGGTTCGCGATCAGGTTCGCCATCAGGTTCCCCATCAGGTTCGCCATCAGGTTCGCCATCAGGTTCGCCATCAGGTTCGCCATCAGGTTCGCCATCAGGTTCCCCAGCAGGTTCCCCAGAAGGTTCCCCAGCAGGTTCCCCAGCAGGTTCCCCAGCAGGTTCCCCATCAGGTTCCCCATCAGGTTCGCCATCAGGTTCGCGATCAGGTTCGCCATCAGGTTCCCCATCAGGTTCCCCATCAGGTTCGCCATCAGGTTCGCCATCAGGTTCGCCATCAGGTTCGCCATCAGGTTCGCCATCAGGTTCGCCATCAGGTTCCCCATCAGGTTCGCCATCAGGTTCGCCATCAGGTTCGCCATCAGGTTCCCCATCAGGTTCGCCATCAGGTTCCCCATCAGGTTCGCCATCAGGTTCGCCATCAGGCTCGCCATCAGGCTCGCCATCAGGTTCGCCATCAGGTTCGCCATCAGGTTCGCCATCAGGTTCCCCATCAGGTTCCCCATCAGGTTCCCCATCAGGTTCGCCATCAGGTTCGCCATCAGGTTCGCCATCAGGTTTGCCATCAGGTTCGCCATCAGGTTCGCCATCAGGTTCGCCATCAGGTTCGCCATCAGGTTCGCCATCAGGTTCGCCATCAGGTTCGCCATCAGGTTCGCCATCAGGTTCCCCATCAGGTTCCCCATCAGGTTCCCCATCAGGTTCCCCATCAGGTTCCCCATCAGGTTCGCCATCAGGTTCGCCATCAGGTTCGCCTTCAGGTTCGCCATCAGGTTCGCCATCAGGTTCGCCATCAGGTTGGCCATCAGGTTCGCCATCAGGTTCGCCATCAGGTTCGCCATCAGGTTCGCCATCAGGTTCGCCATCAGGTTCGCCATCAGGCTCGCCATCAGGTTCCCCATCAGGTTCCCCATCAGGTTCCGCATCAGGTTCCCCATCAGGTTCCCCATCAGGTTCCCCATCAGGTTCCCCATCAGGTTCGCCATCAGGTTCGCCATCAGGTTCGCCATCAGGTTCCCCATCAGGTTCCCCATCAGGTTCCCCATCAGGTTCGCCATCAGGTTCGCCATCAGGTTCGCCATCAGGTTCGCCATCAGGTTCGCCATCAGGTTCGCCATCAGGTTCGCCATCAGGTTCGCCATCAGGTTCGCCATCAGGTTCGCCATCAGGTTCGCCATCAGGTTCGCCATCAGGTTCGCCATCAGGTTCGCCATCAGGTTCCCCATCAGGTTCCCCATCAGGTTCCCCATCAGGTTCCCCATCAGGTTCGCCATCAGGTTCGCCATCAGGTTCGCCATCAGGTTCGCCATCAGGTTCGCCATCAGGTTCGCCATCAGGTTCCCCATCAGGTTCCCCATCAGGTTCCCCATCAGGTTCGCCATCAGGTTCGCCATCAGGTTCGCCATCAGGTTCGCCATCAGGTTCGCCATCAGGTTCGCCATCAGGTTCGCCATCAGGTTGGCCATCAGGTTGGCCATCAGGTTGGCCATCAGGTTGGCCATCAGGTTCCCCATCAGGTTCCCCATCAGGTTCCCCATCAGGTTCGCCATCAGGTTCGCCATCAGGTTCGCCATCAGGTTCGCCATCAGGTTCGCCATCAGGTTCGCCATCAGGTTCGCCATCAGGTTCGCCATCAGGTTCGCCATCAGGTTCGCCATCAGGTTCGCCATCAGGTTCCCCATCAGGTTCGCCATCAGGTTCGCCATCAGGTTCGCCATCAGGTTCGCCATCAGGTTCGCCATCAGGTTCGCCATCAGGTTCGCCATCAGGTTCCCCATGAGGTTCCCCATACAGGTTCCCCATACAGGTTCCCCATCAGGTTCGCCATCAGGTTCGCCATCAGGTTCGCCATCAGGTTCGCCATCAGGTTCCCCATCAGGTTCCCCATCAGGTTCGCCATCAGGTTCGCCATCAGGTTCGCCATCAGGTTCGCCATCAGGTTCGCCATCAGGTTCCCCATCAGGTTCCCCATCAGGTTCCCCATCAGGTTCCCCATCAGGTTCCCCATCAGGTTCGCCATCAGGTTCGCCATCAGGTTCGCCATCAGGTTCGCCATCAGGTTCGCCATCAGGTTCGCCATCAGGTTTTGTCATCAGGTTCGCCATCAGGTTCCCCATCAGGTTCCCCAGCAGGTTCCCCAGCAGGTTCCCCAGCAGGTTCCCCAGCGGGTTCCCCAGCAGGTTCCCCAGCAGGTTCGCCATCAGGTTCGCCATCAGGTTCGCCATCAGGTTCCCCAGCAGGTTCCCCAGCAGGTTCCCCAGCAGGTTCCCCAGCAGGTTCCCCAGCAGGTTCCCCATCAGGTTCCCCATCAGGTTCGCCATCAGGTTCGCCATCAGGTTCCCCAGCAGGTTCCCCATCAGGTTCGCCATCAGGTTCGCCATCAGGTTCCCCATCAGGTTCGCCATCAGGTTCGCCATCAGGTTCGCCATCAGGTTCGCCATCAGGTTCGCCATCAGGTTCGCCATCAGGTTCCCCATCAGGTTCCCCATCAGGTTCGCCATCAGGTTCCCCAGCAGGTTCCCCATCAGGTTCCCCATCAGGTTCGCGATCAGGTTGGCCATCAGGTTCCCCATCAGGTTCGCCATCAGGTTCGCCATCAGGTTCGCCATCAGGTTCGCCATCAGGTTCGCCATCAGGTTCGCCATCAGGTTCGCCAGCAGGTTCCCCAGAAGGTTCCCCAGCAGGTTCCCCAGCAGGTTCCCCAGCAGGTTCCCCATCAGGTTCCCCATCAGGTTCGCCATCAGGTTCGCCATCAGGTTCCCCAGCAGGTTCCCCATCAGGTTCGCGATCAGGTTCGCCATCAGGTTTCCCATCAGGTTCGCCATCAGGTTCGCCATCAGGTTCGCCATCAGGTTCGCCATCAGGTTCGCCATCAGGTTCCCCAGCAGGTTCCCCAGAAGGTTCCCCAGCAGGTTCCCCAGCAGGTTCCCCAGCAGGTTCCCCATCAGGTTCCCCATCAGGTTCGCCATCAGGTTCGCGATCAGGTTCGCCATCAGGTTCCCCATCAGGTTCCCCATCAGGTTCGCCATCAGGTTCGCCATCAGGTTCGCCATCAGGTTCGCCATCAGGTTCGCCATCAGGTTCGCCATCAGGTTCGCCATCAGGTTCGCCATCAGGTTCGCCATCAGGTTCGCCATCAGGTTCCCCATCAGGTTCCCCATCAGGTTCCCCAGCAGGTTCCCCAGCAGGTTCCCCAGTAGGTTCCCCAGCAGGTTCCCCAGCAGGTTCGCCATCAGGTTCGCCATCAGGTTCGCCATCAGGTTCGCCATCAGGTTCGCCATCAGGTTCGCCATCAGGTTCGCCATCAGGTTCGCCATCAGGTTCGCCATCAGGTTCGCCATCAGGTTCGCCATCAGGTTCGCCATCAGGTTCCCCATCAGGTTCGCCATCAGGTTCCCCATCAGGTTCCCCATCAGGTTCCCCATCAGGTTCCCCATCAGGTTCCCCATCAGGTTCCCCTTCAGGTTCCCCATCAGGTTCCCCATCAGGTTCCCCATCAGGTTCCCCATCAGGTTCCCCATCAGGTTCCCCATCAGGTTCCCCATCAGGTTCGCCATCAGGTTCGCCATCAGGTTCGCCATCAGGTTCGCCATCAGGTTCGCCATCAGGTTCGCCATCAGGTTCGCCATCAGGTTCGCCATCAGGTTCGCCATCAGGTTCGCCATCAGGTTCGCCATCAGGTTCGCCATCAGGTTCGCCATCAGGTTCCCCATCAGGTTCCCCATCAGGTTCGCCATCAGGTTCCCCATCAGGTTCCCCATCAGGTCTTGCCCAAGCGTCTTGCGTCTAAAAGTGCGTCTTGCGTCTAGCATCTAGACGCTGCGTCTAGACGCTAGACGCAATACGCGTCTAGCGTTTTCCGCAACTCAGAGGATGCAATTCGAGTGCTTTGCGTGTATGCTCTACGAGAAGAAATATGGTATTCCAGACTCCATCCGTTTGTCTATGTGTAATTATCTGTGTTCTTGTGTGCCTGTGTGCGTGTGTGCCTGTGTTCTCGTGTGCGTGTGTGCATGCGTTCATGTGGCAGGAGTGTCAGAGGCACCACCCATGCAAGGAGGGGGATGGCTGGGTGGAGCAACTTCCTCAGCCTGCCTTGTTTGGCATGCTCTCTGTTGTAAGTGCACATGCTGCCACACACTCTGCACTCACCAGCCGGCACAGCACTGCCATTATCACAGCACTGCTATTCTCACAGCACTGCCACTCTCACAGCACTGCCACTCTTACACCATGCTTCTTCACTCACCTCCCCTCGTGCTTCCCCGTTGCCACCGCCCTGCCACCATCCCACCGCCACCTGCCACCATCCCACCGCCCTGCCACCATCCCACCGCCCTGCCACCATCCCACCGCCCTGCCACCATCCCACCGCCACCTGCCACCATCCCACCGCCACCTGCCACCATCCCACCGCCCTGCCACCATCCCACCGCCACCTGCCACCATCCCACCGCCCTGCCACCATCCCACCGCCCTGCCACCATCCCACCGCCCTGCCACCATCCCACCGCCACCTGCCACAATGTCACCACCTGACTTCCTCCCCTGTGCCCCCCTGCCGTGCGAGCAGAAGGGCCCACAGCACTTTTACACGTGCACGGACGGGCAGGTCTACCACATCACTGACTGGGCGCGCTGCCAGGTGGGTTGCGGTGCTGCCAGGTGGGTTGCTCTGCTGCCAGGTGGGTTGCGGTGCTGCCAGGTGGGTTGCTCTGCTGCCAGGTGGGTTGCTCTGCTGCCAGGTGGGTTGCTCTGCTGCCAGGTGGGTTGCTCTGCTGCCAGGTGGGTTGCTCTGCTGCCAGGTGGGTTGCTCTGCTGCCAGGTGGGTTGCTCTGCTGCCAGGTGGGTTGCTCTGCTGCCAGGTGGGTTGCTCTGGTGCCAGGTGGGTTGCTCTGCTGCCAGGTGAGCATCTGTTTTTTGCTCACTTTTCCTCTGCTCGTTCAGCCACCCGGTTTCTGTTGCCTACCTTACGCCGCACCCGCAAAGCTGGGGCTTGATCATGGAATGGTGACTTGCAGTTTGGAGCACACTTAGCTCATCTCGAACGTCGCCAGCCCCCTCAGCTGTTCAGCAGCCAATGGTTTGGGTGTGATGTGTGTATCAAACATATAAGTGATTCTCCTGTGTGCCCCGTGCGCCCTTGCTGCTGGCAGGGCATGCAGTGCCCGCCCAACACGCACAAGCCCTCCTTCCACTTCAAGCTCTCCCCTCACCCGCCCTCGCCGCCTGCATCCTCCGCCTCGCCCAGGAGCCAGCGCCAGAGGGGCAGAGGGGGCAGGGGCAGCGCCCGGGGCAGGGAAGAGCGCGACGAGGGGTGGGCAGCAGGCATGGCAGGGGGCAGCAGCGGCGGCGGAGTGCGTGTGGAGCTTAGTGAGGAAGAGATGGTGACCCTCCTGGCCCGTGCTGTGAGCACTGGCGCCTTGAGCCCCACCCAGCTCTCAGATGCCCTCAGAACAGCATCCCAATGTAGTGACAAGGGCCCACCCCCTCGGCGGAAAGGCAGGCGGCAGAAACCTCACTAAGCAGCAATTGGAAACAGCACCAATTCAGTTGAAAGCAATCGTATACCAACTCGTGTCCTTCACTCAAGGTAGAAGGTCCTATAGGTTTTGCATGGTGGATGTGTGTAGTGTATTTGAATCAACCTGCAAGCAAAACTATGTTTTAGCTGTGCTTGTCTAGTCAACAGCAAACAACCTGCACATGTGCAGGAAATGCAGCGGGCGCTCTTCATTCGCGAGCGCCGATGACCGATGATGCTCGCAACCCTCCCACGCCCTTGCTGGCTTAGCAATAGGCCCAGACAAGCGCAGCCACGTGACCCTGCAGAAGAAAAAACGCTCGGAACGAGCTTTTCCAGCCCCAAAACGCGAAAAAATCCGCACATGTGCAGGAAATGCAGTGTGCGCTCTTCAATCGCGAGCGCCAATGACCGATGATGCTCCCAACCCTCCCACGCCCTTACTGGCTTGGCAATAGGCCCAGACAAGCGCAGCCACGTGACCCGGCGGAAGAAAAACGCTCGGAACGAACGCTTCCAGACCCAAAACGCGGAAAGATCCGCCCATGTGCAGGAAGTGCAGCGGGCGTTTTTCATTCGCGAGCGCCGATAACAAATGATGCTCGCAACCCTCCCACGCCCTTGCTGGCTTGACAATAGGCCCAGACAAGCGCGACCACGTGACCCGGCGGAAGAAAAACGCTCGGAACGAACGCTTCCAGCCCCAAAACGCGGAAGAATCCGCACATGCGCAGGAAGTGCAGCGCGCACTCTTCATTCGCGAGCGCCGATGACCGCAGATGCTCGCTGTGAATCAAGAAAACAGGAATGAAATGACTAAGTGAAAGTTGGGTACAAAAGGCAAACCCTAGGCAACTGTACCCCATATGTGCTACCCCACTATAGCCTACAGTAGCTATGTCATATGACTCTGACACACCCCCATAGGCAAAGTGGGGGAGAACAAGGGGTCACAAGACCAGTCAAGCAAAGCAAAGCAAGCTCAGGGTGGATCACAAAGTCACCACACATTCCGAGCACAAGTTCAAGGCCACAAGGCCAGTTCACATGCAGGATTACATATATATATAAGGCTAGACAAGCAAGAGCAGGAGTATATATATATGCAACAGTACAAACAAGGTCAAGAGGTGAGCAAGTGAGGCAAGGTACGTACAAGACCCAGCTGAGTACAGAAGCGCTGATGATCACAAGGCGCAAGTGCCTTGGTGAAGATATCAGCAGTGTTGGCCTCAGAGGCCACGTACGCAAGTCGCAGCTGACCACGCTGCTGTAGCTCACGAGCAAGGAAGTAGCGAAGAGCAATGTGCTTCGTTCTGTGCTCCAGTCTCTGCTCTCGACACAAGGCCAGCATGGCCTTGTTGTCTACGTAGAGCACTGGAGGAGAACGAGGCGGCTCTCCGAGGTCAGTCAGCAGGTAGGTGAGCCAGCGAAGCTCTTGTGCAGCCATGGCCCCGGCGTAGATCTCAGCCTCACAACTGGAGCCGAGAACAGAAGACGAGCGAGTAGCCCGCCACGAAACAGACCCGGAACCAAGGCTGAAGGTGTAACCCTGTGATGACCGCTGCGTAGCCTGGTCGTCAGCCCAAGAAGCGTCTGCGTGTCCAGTGAGGACCACTGGACTCTGCCCTCCAAGCACAAGCCCCATGCCCGACGTACTGCACAAGTAGCGCAACACCCTCTTCGCTGCAGCCATGTGCTCCGGTCTGTGTCTCCCAGGAGCAACATAGCGTGCAAGAATGCTAAGAGAGTATGCAAGGTCAGGTCGTGTGCAGGTCATCAGGTACATGAGGCAGCCAACAAGCTCTGGGTACGGGCCACTCGACTCTACGGACTCATCCGAAGGCAGAGCTGAGAGCGAGTGGCGAGTAGGCAGAGGAGTGGCCTGAGGCGAGGAGTACGTGAAGCCGAAGCGCTGAAGGACCTGCTGCATCATGTGTGACTGAGTCAGGGTAATGGTGCGGCGTGCTCTGTCCCGGGTGATCTGCAAGCCAAGGTAGCTGCGCAGTTCACCCAGGTCTGTGCACGTGTGTCTCTTCTGCAGCTCGGACTTCACGTGGGCGAGTCCAGCAGTGTCAGCTGTGGCAAAGACCAAGTCGTCGACGTACACGAGGATGTAGAACGGCTGCAAAGAAGTGTCGGTGCGCAGAAACAGCGACGGGTCGGCAGTAGAGGGAGCAAACCCAAGAGCCGCAAGTGTAGTCCTCAGTGTGTCGTGCCACTCACGCGGTGCCTGGCGGAGACCGTAGACTGGCCGCCGGAGGCTCCACTGGGTGCCAGGAGGAAAAGACCCAGCGAAGCCAGGTGGGCGACGCAGCCAGATCTCCTCGTGCAGGCTGCCCTGCAAGAAAGCAGTGCTGAAGTCAAGAGAGTGCAGCTCGTAGTCGCGGTGAGCAGCTATGTGCAGCAGTACCCGAAGAGTGGTCATCTTCGGGGTGGGAGAGAAGGTCTGAAAGTAGTCAACTCCCTGCCGCTGACTGAAGCCACGAGCCACGTAACGCGCCTTGAAGACAGGCGGAGAACCCGGCGGCCGCTTCACCCTGAAAATCCACATGCCACTGACGATGTTCGCCCCAGGCGGGGGAACCTCGTCAACGTAGGTGCCTGTGGACTTCCAGGAAGCCATCTCTGCGTCCATAGCTGCCTGCCACTGAGAGGAGTAGGGACCCTCTATCGCCTCCGCGTAAGAGCGCGGAGTCGGGATGTCAAGTGCATCCGGGTCTCCCTCAGGGGTAAGCAGTACGGACACGAGATGAGGTGAAGCAGCAGCCAAACACTGGAACTCCTCCTGCCTGTCCTCAAGGACGTCCGTGCCAAGGGCACACTCACCCCCGACGGACGGAGGACAGACAGACTCAGACTCAGCAACAAGACTAGCAGCGTAGTCTAGACGACAGCGAGCAGCAAAGTCGACGAGCTCAGTAACTAGGGCAGACGCAGCAGTGGACTCAAAGGAAGGGTCAGTGACAACAGTAGCAAGGAGACGCGTGACAGTAGGACTGGCAGCACGAAGAGAGTCCGACTCCGGGTCAGGAAGAGCAGGAAGAGAGGACTCAGGAGGAGAAGGCAAAGGGGCACGCAGAGGAGCAGTGGACGGACGCAGAGACATCCGGTGCGTGCCAGGGACAGGAGGAGGACGCTGACGCGAACCACGAGCACTAGTGCGAGCAGCACGGACAGGCGACGCAGGGCGAGACGCAGGCTCACGACGCTCAGCAAGACCTCCAGTAGGACCAGTGTAGGGAGAAGGAGCGGGCAGTGGGGAGGCCGGCTGTAACTGTAACTGTGACGGGACAGGCTGTGGACACGCTAAGGGAGGAGGAGGACCAGTAGAAGGCGGGAGACCAAGAACCTGCTGAAGGAGCGGAACGAAGTACGGCCGAGGCCGCGCGGCGACTCCAGACACAGCAGGGACAGCACCAGTACCCCCAGCGGCAGCACCAGCGCCAGCAGCACCTCCAGCTCCAGTACTTCCAGCAGCACCAGTAGCACCCCCAGCAGGACCGCCTCCAGGACCGACAGCAGTAGCCTCAGCGCCAACACCCTCAGCAGCTCCAGCTCCAGTCGTACCCGCAGGCCCAGCAGCTCCAGTACTCCCAGTACGAGCACCTCCGGGACCCGCGGCACCAGCACCCTCAGCAGCCGAAGAACCTCCAGCTCCAGCAGCACGCCTCCAGCGCCGGGCAAACCACTCGCGCAGCTCCTGTGGAGAGAGTGGCTCCCGCCGAGACGAAGCACCCGGAGAACCTCCAGGCTCAGCACCGCCAGACGCCACACGAGCAGGCCCAGCTCCCTCAGGCTCCGCACCCCCAGGCTCAGCACCTCCAGGCGTAGCACCCCCAGGCTCAGCACCCCCAGGCTCAGCACCCCCAGTAGTAGCACCCCCAGGCTCAGCACCCTCAGGCTCAGCACCCCCAGTAGTAGCACCCACACGCTCAGCACCCCCAGAGTCAGCACCCCCAGGCTCAGCACCCTCAGCAGCACCAGAGTCACCAGTAACCTCGACAGGCTCGACTGCGTCTACCTGGGACACACCTGAAGGGGCAGGACCCTGAGGGGGGAGGGGGTCTACCGGGGGGGGACCTGGGACAAGGAAGAGCGGTGGCGGGGGGAGGGACGGAGTGCGGTAGGGGAAGAGGCGGTAGTAGGGGACCGACTCGTCAAACGTGACGTCCTGGGAGGACAGGACACGGCGAGAGGTGGGGTGGTAGAACTGCCACCCTGGCGCGTCAGGGGGGAAGCCAAGGAAGACGCAAGGAGCAGCACGAGGGGACAGCTTGTCCGCAGACAAGTCGCGGACAAACGTCCGAGATCCCCAGACACGGAACGCAGACGCATCGCCAACCTTCCCCGTCCACAGCAAAGCTGGGGAGGTCTCCGGCATGGAGACCCTGGGGTGAAGGTTGATCTGATGCGCCGCGTATCGAACCGCAAACGGCCACAGAAAATGGGGGGCAGCCGCATGCATCATGGACGTACGGGCGACGTCCATGACCATGCCAATGCGGCGCTCAGCAATCCCATTTTGCTGTGGAGAGTCCGGAAGCGTGAAGGTCTGGCGGATGCCTCGTGCACGACAGTAGGCTCGCAGAAGGCCAGAGGAGAACTCTCCACCTCTGTCAGAGTGCAGACGCAGAACAGGAAAGTCCGAGCCGAAGCTCTGCCTGAGCTGGAGACGAGCTGCGCGGATCCAGTCGATCAACACCTCAGTGACATCACCCTTGCTGCGCAAGGGGAAGACTGTGGTGTAACGCGAGTAGTCGTCAACCACCAGCAGGAAGTAGCGCTCGTGACCCTGTCCACGGACGCGGGCCGGGCCCCACACGTCCATGTGAAGCGTCTGCAGCGGGGCCTCTGTCGGAGGAAACTGGGAGGAGTGAGGGGCAGCCCGCTGCCGCCCCTCGACACAGGGGACGCAGGTAGGGCCAGGCCCCGGAGGAAGGGGAGGGAGGGACCGGGGAAGACCAGAGACAAGGACACGGGAGGCCATGCTTCGGAGAC